GAAAATTTACCTAACGTGTCACCTTGTCCGGGAATTGAACCCAGATCCTCTCGCTTGTGAGGCGAGTGCTCTTAACCAATACGCTCCAATATAAATTCAATTTATTTATTATGTAACTATTAAAACCATTCAGTTTTAATAACAATTGTAGCTTGGAAATTATGACAAAGGCATTACATGAAATTCAATAATTAACAAGAAATACACTAATATTTACCAGTTGTTCCATATGTAGACAAGATGAGTAACTTGAGAGAATGGCATAACTAGAATTAGGTGGAAGCCGAACATAACTTAATCATTGAGTTATTTTATAAATTAACAGACTGCAAGCTTTCCCACTGAGGCTCTTTTCTGAGCTTTCCAAGGTGCAAAAAATGTGATCTGTACTCTTTCTCAGTTTCTACAGTCCCTTGTCCTCCCCAGAGCTGAATTGAAATCAAATTGAAGGGAGTTCATCCTGGTGTCCTGGTCAGCAGTCCTTCAGATAAAATTAGTCACCTCCTGGCTATTTGTGAGATATTGCTGCGCACTGGCTGACTGACTGACTGACTGCTAAATACACTGTCCTACACTTTACAGAGATCCCGTGAAGAGGTTTGAGAATTTAAATGATGTGATGAGGTTCATATGCAAGAATTATTATGCAAGAAGAATTATTAATACCTGTACAGTGGCAAAGATCATGGGCTGTTTTAATGCTGGTAATGTTGAAAAAGATTTTGTAACGGTTGGATTTTAGTGCAGAGCTGCTTTTCTCATGTGAACAGCTGAGGATACGCCTGTATTGGGTGCTTGTCCTGTAATAGCTGTTCAATGATATTGAATCCTGCATAGCGCTTCGATATTACGTGTCCCAGAGGGGGTGGAAAACCTGGTTGCGGTCTGGATTAATATAGATCAGAATTACTGATTTATACTTGTAATTAGTTGGGTATCACACTACCCTTTGGGGACTCCTGTACTACATGCCAGGAAGGAGGTTGTGCTGGACTGGCGTTGTCTCACGCTGCAAAGCTGGTTCCTGGCAGGATTCAGTACTTAATAATAATAATAATTATGGAGTCCTGTAGCTCAGTGGTTAAAGCACTTGCTTTGCAAAGCGAGAGACCTGGGTTCGATTCCCGGGTAGGGCGAAACGTTAGGCAAGTTTCCTTACTCCAAATGCCTCTGCATACCTAGCAGTAAGTAGGAACCCGGTTGTCAGTTGATTGGCAGATCCCATTTCCGACAGTAGTAAGCCTTTCAAAAAAATAATAATTTGGTCACTCAATCCAGGACTGTTTGTGGGACACTGCTGTGCGCAATTGCCTGATTGCCTGCGCAATCGCCCACAAAATATACAGTCAATTCACTTTACAGTAGATTCTTTGCAGTGAAGCGCTTTGAGACGTCTCAAAGATGTGATAAGGCGCTATATCAAATGCAAGGATTATTATTATTATAAGAGCTTGTAAGAGTGTTCAAACTCTTCCTCCTTCAGGGGAAACTGCTGAGCTGTTAATTGAAGTTGTCGCCCCAGTTTACCCTTAAGCACCTCCTAGTGGCTGGTTATAGCACAACTTGGGAAGAAGCTTGATTGATTTCTGCCTGGAGTGTTAGTGGTGTTGGGTGTGTGAGAAAGGGGTGGAGGGGAAAGAAAATGTTGTTTTCCTTAAGAAAAAAAAGCCTTTGCGTGCCTTGTAACTAAATCTTGACCATTTGTGCGGGCGTGGCATGCTCCATTTCCTTCAACTGTAAATACTCTGGAAGCTTTATAAGTGGTTAATTTCGTTGCTTTTGCTGCATGATTTTTAATCGTTGCATATATCTGAAAGTTGATTCAAATCAAAATAACTGTTTGACCAACTTGACCGCAATTTTTTAAGCAAAAAAAAAGTACTCGTTTTTTTTGTTTGAAAAGTCTGTGGCTCTCTCACCGAATACTTCTCTCTCTCACTCTCTCTCTCTCTCACTCTCTCTCTCTCTCGCTCTCTCACTCACTCACTCACTCACTCACTCACTCACTCACTCACTCACTCACTCACTCACTCACTCACTCACTCACTCACTCACTCACTCACTCACTCACTCTGTCTCTCTTTTGGTCTCTCACTCACTCACTCACTCACTCACTCACTCACTCACTCACTCACTCACTCACTCACTCACTCACTCACTCACTGTCTTTTGGTCTCTCTCTCTCTCTCTCTCTCTCTCACTCAATCACTCACTCAAAATATGTGCAGCATTGGGGGGGAGGAAGGGAAAGACTAGTATCCTCCTTGGGAGAAGGTGATTATAAATCATCTTGAATGTACTGCTTTTGAAGCTGCTACAGAGAGTTCAGGCATACTTGAGAAAACATGACATTTTTCACAGTGTATTTTGTGTTTCCGTCCGTTGGTGTGGAAGTACTTAAAGCTTTGGATATTTGCCAGTGGTTTCCAGTCTGGGCATTGTTTCACTGCAATTGGCTGCTGTTGCATGTAGCTGTCAGAATTTGATATTTTCTGCATGACTGAGGCTCGGGCTCTATCAGTCTGACACCTCTGCACCGTTGTAGTCTTTAGATGCCTGGGAGAAAGGAGGTGAAATCACACATCAGAAAGTCTTGCTATAGAGGATAAGAATCATATTCACGACGCCTATCATTTGGCTATCATTAAGAGGTGTGCTGGTTTGGGGTGTAGGGTGCGGAGGCAATTTCCATCAAAATCCATCTGGCCTCACTGAAATTCCCTGGAAATACAGCCATGGCATTACTCATCCTCACCAAGTCATTAATTGCAGTAATGTCAAGTCCTCAAGCATGTACATAACAATGCGTTAAAAGGGGAAAGTGCTGTTGACTTGTACTTTTCATACTACCATTAACCTATCAATTTGTCAAATGTAGAGCATGCTAAGTGGATGGGTTGGGTGTAAATTTTACCCATTCAGTTAGAAATGACAATGAAACTTGTGATTTATAATCACTGCCGGGTTTACAGAAATTCTGACTGTTTACTGTCAACATTGCGTTTTCCATATTCATTTTAGATTTGGTCGGAAGCAGCAAGCGTGGATCCGAAGTTCAGATCTGCAGATCTATTGTGTAATTACCGTCTTGTATCCACAGGTTATTTTTATCTTGTCTGATGGTTGGAAGATTGAAGAACACTGTAGATGGGTCTGCTATATACAGATGAAAGAGAGGTGCATGTTTAGTCAGGCTACCTCCACTTAGGCTGTCATAAGTGCCACCCCACAGTAGCTGTGAGGAGACCCAGAGAGGCTAGACGCCAAGCTGTATGAATTCATGCATCCCTTCGCTTTGATCATTGTTCACAACTTCATTTACTTTCCTTAATGTAGATGAGTGCGCTCCAGCATTTACTGATGAAAATGACCATGTTTGAGGAGAATGTAGTCAGGCCACTGTGTCAAAGTAGATCACTCTCATCTGATCACCAACCCATTGCAAAATACCTTGTGTTTCCCTCTGGTGTGATATAGCTATATAACTTCAAATTTTCTTGCATTAACTGAGATTATTCCCACCCTCGTCTGTGAGCACATTGATTCTTTTGCCATAGGTTCATACAGGTTGTTCAGTGGTATACAGTTGTACTCTAGGGCACTGCTTATGACCGCCCAGCCAGCCAGGCTCATCGGTAAGACTTGAACATGGGGCAGAATGGTCTCTGGAGATGAGAATTCTTCCTACTCAGCTCCTGTTATTAATATTAATGATGATCATGATGAAGAAGATATTTTGGTATTGACTGCAAATGTGACATCAAAAGGTAACATCACAATGATATGGGACTCACAAGTACATACAGTTAGAGTAGTCTGTAATAAAATAGATATTATAAAATACTCTCTGGAATTAGGTAAGTAGGGTGTGCCCCTCACAACAATAACAACAAAATGACATTTGTAGCGCCTTTCACGTCAGGAGGACGTCCCAAAGCGCTGAACAGTCAGATATCGGGGTCCGAGCATGGGGGAGGTGTAGGGGTGAGAGAAGGCAGAGAGGTGGGAGGCAGACCAAAGGTACGGTCAAAGCATGGTCCCCTCCAAGGAGAGAGTGCGCATTCCACTCCTGATATAAGAATGTCCACGTGTAGGTGGGCATGAATGGAACTCAGTTTGGTTTGGATACTCTTTAGCGTGGTGATGGTCAGACATCCAGCTGACCCCGCCCCCCAAAAATCTCCCAAGAAAAACTGCCACAAATCATACAGCGCAGCTGTACCTTACTTTCTAACTACCTGAGTCATGAGGGAAGTCTTAAAGCCTTCTTACTGATGCATCGCATGAAAAATCAAAAATGTGTTGTTGACTTGCATAAATATTCTTCAGGATTCCTTCATTGCTGTTTTACACTCTTGTGAGTCTCCTGTAGGAGAAGTTGGTTTTGGGTAGACTGTAGGCATTCTGCTCCAATTCTGAGATTATAATTTATAGAGCATTAATGAGCCTTCCCTTAAAGAGATTTGTGCACTGGAGCTGAGAACCTGAATATAACCTGCGGGGTCATGATATTCCAGTTATCTTGTGCAGCCTGCAAATACTACTAGATAAAGGATCTATACCCAGTTCACTGAGGGTTGATGCGGTAGCAGCATTAACTTTCCACCCACAGTTGGAAAGTTCAGTTGGAAAACGCAAGTTCATGAAAGTTGCTTAGAAGGTCAAACTCTTTGTCAGTTAAACTTGTTCCTGGAATTTGATGTGCGTTCTCAAGTATGTTACTCCCTCTGAGCAGGCAATTCATCAGGTGAATAACCTTATCATATCAAATCCTGTGGCCGGGTGCTAGCATGTACGTCATGGGTGTCTGCCTTGTGGGTTACATTATATTTGTTGTGGGTACAGTCTGAATTACGAATTACTGCAATTGGCACTCGGAAGAGGAAAATAATTGAAGGAAATACCCCCGCAATTCATCTTGAAATGCATTATTTCTATATATTCGTCTTGAGATATTGTAGTTTTTTTTATTAAAGTAGATTGTTATGTTTTTTTTCCAGGCCGAGACTGCAAGCACAAAGGAAATTTGCCCAGTCGCAGCCCAACTCCCCCAGCACAACCCCCGTCAAGTTGATAGACCCAGTCCTGCCACCGCCAGCAACACAGATCATTGACCTCTCAAAACGAAAGCCCAAAACTGAAGATTTCCTTACTTTTCTTTGCCTTAGAGGTAAGTGCAATAGAGGGCAACCTTGTTATGATGCGTTTGGTGTATTCAGAGAGGGGGCAGAAAGGCTGAAGGCCCGACCACCAGTGGTGGACGGGAAGCAGGCCAGTGCTTGCTGAGTGCAGATAGGGTTTAAGAAGGTCGCAGAGGTTGGGTGAGGCAAGACAGTGGAGAGATATAAAAGTGAAGATGAGGATCTTGATCTCGGTTCTCTGCGAGATGTGGAGCTATTGAAGATGGGGTGACAAGCTTGTGTGAGAGAGAACATGAGTTGTAGAGTTCTGGATGGTCTGAAGCTTGTGGAGGAAAGTATTGGGAGTCCAACAAGCAGGGAATTGGCATAGGACATGATGAAAGCATGGATTAGGGTCTTGGGAGTCTGAGGGGAGAGGTGGAGGTGGGAAATGTTGCGGAGGTGGGGGAAAGCTGCAGGGGTCAGATGTGAGGTTTAAAGGACAGTTGAGAATCAAACAAGACACTAAAGTATCAGAGAGGCATGGTCAGCCCGCTGGCACGGGAGGAGGAGGGGGAGCTAAGGAGAGCAGCACAGGAAGTTGAGCAAGTCTGGCCCTGGGCACAGGGCTCATTATTGTCAATTTTAAAAAGAAAACGATTGTGGTTAGTGGGGTTGTGAATAGATTTAGTAAAAGACAGCGGAGATGAGACACAAAGAGTAAGAAATAAAAGAAACTTTCAAGTCCTGTTTTAAAACTGCGATTTGTGACGTCACACTGTGTTAAGGACTGGCGAGACTCTAGCCTTCATGAAGGATGCTATATGAATGCAAGTTGTAAATGATGTCAGTCTGGTTCAGTTCATAGCTTTCTCGCCTCTGAGTCAAAAGGATGTGGGTTCAAGCCCCACGTTGAGAGTTGCAATCCTGCTGTTCTTTGGGATGGGCTTCTAGTGTAAAAGGTGCTTTACCAAATGCAAGCATTATTTTTTTGCCGGGTACCAACCTCCTAATAATAATCATAATAATCCTTGCATTTGATAATGCGCCTTATCATGTCTTCCAGACGTCTCAAAGCGCTTCACAGAATATACTGTAAAGTGAATTGACTATTTTGTGGGCAAAATTATCATAGATCCCTAGTAGAGCCACGTTATAAGCGAGGTAGTACGGTATTGAAAGGCGCTATAACTATTCATCAACTTCAAGGTTACAGATTTTAGTTCACAAATGCTTTCTCCATTGGTGGTCTTCCTCGTTGCATACAGTGTTATAACACAGTGGAGAACATAAATGGATTATGTATGCTTACATTTTTCTTTGAACGCAATGGACCTCCAAGGGAGATCTTCAGATCTGCCTTTTCCTTTTAAATTAACCTGAAAGCTTCAATCTAAGAACAATCCTTGAATTATTGCACTGTTTACAGAAAGAAGCATTGGAATGTTGGAAACAGAAATGTTTCCAGTTCAGTTTTATGAATGTGTGGGGTAAAGAAAGAGAAAACAAATTTCTAGGGCAGAATACTGAAGAACCGTCTGAGAATGAAGGGCAGATTCACAGAACAAGCTTGTCTTAATTTTTAACAACATGGAAAATTTGACTCTTTATTTTTGGGCAAATATTTTGGGCAAGTACAAACAAATATTTAATGCCTTCCTCAAGCATGCACTGTTTCCCCTGTTTAACTGAAATGTGTACTTGCACCAAGATACTTGTCACAGTTTCCAAAATAAATGATTCAAATAGAGAAGCAACATTCATTAACCTCCAGCTGGGAGGTTATTGCATTTGCCAGCACGCCTTCTTTGTAATTGTCCACATTTTAAGGTTTCCAGCTCTGTGGGTGATGGTTTTGACAGCAGCGATCATTTCCCGTAAGGCAGAGGATGCCCAGATTGCATTTTGAGCCACAGACATTGATTACTTTTGCGATACCAATCTTTCCATGCTCCGCTGGCACATCATGTCAATTTCCAGTAGTAGATGAGCATGTATTTGGAGAGTGGGGTGACTTGTGAATAAGGTGAATGCTACTTGTTGTGGGTACTTCCCTGAAGCAATATTTATTGTGGTATGCAATGGCTGGGAGTACGGAAGAAAAAGTGAGACTGCAAAGTGTTGCCTGCAGTCCTTGAAATACAGTTGCCCAAAACTAAAAAGTAAAAATTGTGATGTGTTTCCCCTCCCCGCAAACTCCACCACAAGAATCAATCTACCTTTGGCCTCCCAATAGAGGTATCTGTTCACAGGATTAAGACTTAACTCAACAACTGTGGTGCTAGAGCTATCAGCACTCTCACCTCTGCGGGCAGAAGGTTGTGGGTTCAAGCCCCATGTTGGGACTTTGAACTCGTAGCCTGACAACTCGAATGCATGCTGTAGTATGCTGCATTGTTGCAAGTATTGTGGCTGTTAAAGATCTCATGGTACTATTTGAAAAGAGAAGGGAGCTTTCTGGTGAACAATCCCCCAGGGAAAACTGGTCATTCACTTCATGGCTGATTGCGGGATATTGCTGTGTGCAAATTGGCGGCTGCGTTCATCTACAAAGACACAGTCACTGCATTTTACTTGTAACTAGTGGCTGATTTTACTTTACAGTAACAATTTTGATAACATTGGAAGGGAACTAATTTGACTTATATTGCCTCACTTCTAGTTTATGCTGCTGTACTCTTGTCTCCTCTGTCTGTTTATGCTTCTCTCTCTCTCTCTCTCTCTGCCACTCTCTCTGTGCTGCTTTCTTCGCTCTCTTTAATTGCTGCATTCTCATCCTCTCTTTATGCTGTTCTCTTTCTCTCGTATTTTATGCTGCTATCTCTTTTTTTAACCATTGGCTTTTGGGATATTTTCTTTATCTTAGGGCCATATATAGTGCAGTGGGTAATTGCCTGCTTTTTGTTTGATTCTTTCCTGCTTTCCTTTTCCCCATTCCTGATTTGAAATGTTATTTGTAGGAGAACGTAATAATGAGCCAGTGGTTTAGTGGCGTCTGTGATGCAAACAAATCCCTTTCTGAGTACAAAAGATTCTTTTCATGAATAAAAATACTAGGAGTTTAGGAGCACAGAGCAAATGTTGACAATCCTTTGGCTTGTTAAATTGATGCCAGATTATAATTCAGCAAGCTATTAAATATTTTTTTTGATGGGATTAAGGTTGGCAGCAAAATTTCAGAAACCATTTGACTTTTTGCAGGTCAGCTCTGTTAAAATTCCTCTTTGCTGTAATTCTTGAAAGGTTTTTTTTCATTTGCTTTTTGTGGTGTATATTTTCAGTTCTGTACAGAAGGCTTTGAAGTACATGCACACCAGTCACATCTGCACAGCTCACCTTCTGCTGTCATTCCTCCACAGCTCTGATTACTTTGCTAGTTTTCAGGGCTTCTGCGTCAGGGGTAACAATTCTGATATCAAATGGAAATGCTTGTGGCCAACATTGCTTGCTGCCATTTTTCTCATCGCAAGAGCTCAATCACTGCAAGAGCTCGACCTGCCTGAGCAGGCTGGATTTGTTTGAATTTTAACATTGGGGGCCCATGCCGAACAACAGGGAAGACCTGGGAATTGAAACTGATAAACTTGCAAAACATCTGCAATCTTGGTCACAGTTATTGCTGGGATTAGTCTTCGTGGCAAGAGGGCTGAGGAAAGTCCAAGGCAGAGGTGCAGTCTGTGGGTGATAATCCAAGTTACTTTTATGTGCATTTAATGAGAAATTATCTGCAAAATGTTCATTACAGAAATGTGCTATAAAGCACTACCTTGTGACCCTAGGCGTGGAAGCAATTCGTTCCACAATGAGGCTTTCTGCCCAGTTACGGGTTAAACAGGGTCTCATTTTGTTCTGTTCCCTTGGGCTGTAATGCGCGCAAGACACTTAGACATTTTGTGTGCCAGCAGATTAGAGCGCAGAAAATTCAAGCGAGTGTTGTTTTCCATCCCTGTTCATTCCCCACCTCCACGTCTTCCCCCGCCCCCCCCCCCCACCACCCTCACCATCACCACAGAATTGCTAATATATTAACCCGATCCTTTTCACGTTCATGTCTAATGTGGTGGTTTCTTTGTGACGCGCTCCGATAGGATTGACCTCCAGCGCTGACTAGTCTTATAAATGCTTCTCAGTCTTTGCTGTGAAATACAGAACAATCTGCAAAAGCTTCTTCTGTTCTTCAGGAAAAAAAGGCTCCTTTCTCGAGAATGTGGGCTAATTGAGCAATTTAGAAGCACTTTTGGTAGCGAAGCTTAATGTATTCCTCTTTCTCTGTGTCTGCTTCTCACAGCCAATTCACCAACTGCAGCTGAGAGGTAGGGTGGTAGCTGACTTCAGGTGCAGACAGTGTTCCAGATGAGTGCCAGGATGTGTGTGCGAGTGTGCAAGGCCTGGTTGTGACTGGCATTGTTTAATATTGCAATTTTCGGGATTGTTGGAAGACCCAAGATAATGGCCATCTGTGGGAACCTGCTCTGTGCAAAGACCCGCCTAGTTTCGCCCACAAAATATGCAGTCAATTCACTTTTCAATAGATTCTGTGAAGCGCTTTGAGACATCTCGAAAACATGATAAGGCGCAATATCAAGTGGAAAGATTATTATTATTAGTTCAGCGTCAGCCTGGTTCATTTGGTAGCACAAGTGCTTCTGAGTCCGAAGGTTGTAGGTTCAAACCTCATATCGTGACTTTTGAGTCCACAGTCTTGGCTAATGCTCCAGATAAGGTTGGCGGAGCACTGCATTGTCGCCATGTTAAGATGTTGTACTGTGTAGCTGTCCGCTTGTTCGTGTGATGTTGTTCACGTGGATGCTATTCTTTGAGCGATATCCTGAGCGAAGGGGCTATATAAATGCAAGTTGTTGATATTAGATATCCTGTGGCACCATTCAAAAAGAATAGGGAGTTTCTGGCCGACAGTCGTGCAGATTAAAAAAAACTGATTGTTCATTTTATAGCTGTTTGTCGCACATGGCTGTGTTAAATTGGCTGCCGTATTCACCTTAAAATGCAGTCACGACACTTGTGAAGATTGTGAAGCGCTTTGAGACAT